TTGGGGGGGGAGGGGGGGGGGATCTTTCTTCAGGATATACAGATTAAAAAATATCGATCAGCTAGCAGGCACTAGAAAAAACAGGACTTACAAATAACTTCTTCATTCTTTACACAGGAAATAAGAGTCATAATTCGTGAATGCATGATAAGCAGAGAGGCGCGCAACTGCTTCAATAGCTCTAACTGTTCACGATCTTCTTTTCCGGGGACCAATTCCGACAAAATCTCACGTGCAACCTGCAAGACCACAGTGCTGTAAAGACCAGCTCCAGGCACTCGAGCTAATCCTTCCCACAAAACAGATGTTTTACAAAAGGCAACGTTAATCCTAGCTTCGGCATTGATGATTCTGAAATCAACATCAAATTTTCACTTAGTAAAGGGACTAAAAATGAGCAAATTTATGGCTACGAAACAGCATGTGAGGCGATAGAGCAGAATCGGGAAGAAAAGGATTTGCGCCAGCTGCATCAGTAGCGAAAATCACAACGAAAAAAAAAAAAAAAAAAACAGTAACTGTTCAAAAGTATCGAAATAAATGGGTACCGATAAGTTGGTTTGGACCACATCAAGATCCTTACGTAGCTTCACGAGCTGTTCACCGGATAGCTCTATCGGATCAGCGAGATGCAGGGGAACGCCAGTCGCACACTGCAAAAAAACAATAAATCAAAAATTCATCTTTGACCGCACAGTTCGTTATGTGAATGCATGTCAAAGCTAAACCTCCATAACATAGGCTGATGGGTCTTTCGCCTCCTCCTTCCGCAGCTGCACAGGTACCAGTGCTATAAAAGTCAGAGTCTAAAGCTAAAACTGAAGAAAACTCTCTTCTGCACCCTCCCCTCTCCGAGGAGGCCGCCCTGGATTAGCTTACGCTCCATATTCACTTTCTATGGCGGATGAAGGCATTCGAAAGTAGCTCGAGCGGTAACACAGGGCCAATAACATCATCATTCGCTAGCAGAGCTATCAACAGCGCCCTCTTTCTAGGACTGCTCGAAAGTAAGCTGATGGCGGAAATGCATGTATTAAAACATACAACCATTAAGAAGAAAACTTTACCCGACTTATGGGAATATGAGGATTTTAACACTGCGCATAATCTACGGCACTTTTCTCCTTCCACTCTCACAAGCTGAAAAAAAAGGCACTCAGAGCACGGGTACTCCGTACTTTTGATGCTCAGCATTTCCTCGCTTTAAAACATTTTTTCAGCTTCAATGATTAAGAACCTGCTCCGAGTGCCACAAAAATTTGTTCGGATGCTTCGCAAAGAACGAAAAATGAGCCCGTCATCTCTTGCACTGGTTTTGTGGCTTGGAAATTTGAAATTTAATAAATATAGACTATGCTTTCTAAAAATGTTGTAGTTTCGGGCCTGCAAGCGATTTTTGGCTGCTACGAGACTTCACTCTCACAACAGTAGGCAAGTTGTACCTGGATCAATAATCATCTAAGAATATTACTTTGGACAGTTTTCGGATGGCTCACAGATAACTTGCATATCCGATTTGATTACGCAAAAGTTTTTTATTCTTGAACGAGAGAGGCGCTTCATGCGTACTGAGTCAAATCAAACGGGCTACAGGGGAGGGGGGAAGCTAGAAAAGAGGGACAAATCAAAAGATTATCAAGAACGCTAGTCGACAAGAAACTGAGAGGAATTTCCCCTAAATTGGTTCACATCTTTGCTAGATCCAGCATGCACAGATTCAGTCATCACGACGAATAGGGCTGAATATTTGATGCCACATACTAGTACTATTGCTTTCTCATAAATATGAAGCAATTCTGAGGCAAAAAAAAAAAATAAAGGAACCGAGAAGAGGGGACGAACTTGCTGCGTGCATTCAGGTGGTGATGAAAGT